GGGTTGGGGCACCACCCTCTATCACCCACAGAGCAGGGCCGATCAGGAGGTTGGGCGCCACCACTGTCACACTCAGGGCAGGGCCAATGGAGAGGTTATGGCTCTACTCTGTCACACACAGAGCAGGTCCATGGGCGGGGGGAGGGGGGGGTGGGAGTGGGGCGCCACACCCTGTCACACACAGAGCAGGGCTGATCAGGGGGTTGGTGCGCCGCACCCTGTCAAACACAGAGCCGCAGGGCGATCAGGTGATTGGGGAGCTCCCCCCTATCTGGCACAGAGCAGGGCTGATCAGGGGGTTGGGGCACCTTCCCCTGTCATGAACAGAGCAGGGCAGTTAGGGAGGTTGTGGCCCCACCCCCTGTCACACACAGAGCTGCAGGGCGATCAGGGGGTTTGGGCCGCTGCCCCCCTGTTATGCTGGTCCCGGTGCCGGGAGGCCTCACTGCTCCGCTGATCCTGGTGCCAGGAGGCATATTACCCTTTTACTATATAGAATAGAGGCCTGGTGCACGGGTGGGGGCCGGCTGGTTTGCCCTGAAAGGTGTCCTGGATCAGGGTGGGGGTCCCCACTGGGGTGCCTGGCCAGTCTGGCTAAGTAGCTGAGGGCCGTTTTCAGGCTGGCGGGTGACTGAAGCTCCCAACCGCTCCTTTTTTTCTTTTTTTTCTTTTTATTCTGGGCCAGCTTTAGCTCTGAGGCCTCGCTGCTGAAAGCAGGTTTCTGGCCTTTAACTTCTGTATTTGATACAATGTTGCGGTCAGGCTGACTGAAGCCCGGCTGACTGAAAGCTGGTTTCTGGGGTTTTGTTTAGCTTCTGTATTTGCAACATAGTTGCTTAGAGTTGCCGCTGAGAGGCCGGCAAGTCAGGCGGGGAACGTTGGAGTCCGCCATCAATGGAGCAAGCAAGCCTCCCTGTTCGCTTCAGTGCATGGCTGCCGGCCGCCATCTTGGCTGACAGCTAATTTGCATAAGGATATGCTGATTAGCCAATGGGAAGGGTAGAGGTCGTACGCTAATTACCATGTTTCTCTTTTATTAGTGTAGATATGATGTGTATATTTTCAGTGAAATGAAATATTCTAAGCTTTGTATGTGACAGTATAATTTAAACGTGTGGCCTTTTGTTTTCATTTAATAGCCATGAGAACTTGCAAATAGAATAAAATGTCATACCCCTTTTGAAAATAAATTCATGCTTTTACTCAAAAATCATTTAGCATCTGCTTTGTCTCAAGAGTTATACTATGACATGGGCCTATGATTAGAGTGTTTGTAATACAGTGGAGAATTTGAACATTAAACTAAGGTATGTCATGTAATAATATTAAGTGCTTGGGTAATTAAGGTGCCTCCACTGCCTGTCTGTGTGACCTTGGGCAAGTTACTCTATTTTATCATCTACAAAATGGAAGTATCCATTGCCTACCTCATAAAGTGTTTTTGTTTTTTGGACAGTAAAAGCATTAACTGCCCTCCCCCCCCAAAAAAAGCCTAAAGAGTGGTAAGCATGCCAGGAAATTTTATCAAATTGTAACATCAGTAGACAAGTAACTTGTATTGTTTAGTGAATGCTGTAATGAGGGAGAGATTGTGTTTATCTAAACTGATCAGAAGGGATGTTTGCATTGATACCTATACAGCATGAATAGGTGATAGATGAAAACTTTAAATCCCCTTTAAGAAACTAAATTATTAATGCTTTTTTAAAAGAGGAAAATAAAGCATGCATATTCCATTTGCTCAATAGGGCTCAACCTGTAAGGTATCTGCAGAATATGAAGAAATTTTGAAGGAAAAGCTTGCTCGACAACAGCAGCTTTGTAAATTGCGCGCTCAATGTGAAGTAAGTACTTTTGCCATTAGTTCTGAGGCAAGTCAGAGGTAATTCAAATGTTCAACTAAATGATATCTTCTTTTCTAAAGAACCCAATTTTTTTCTTTCAATGTCTCGTGACTTGAGCAGAATTAACTGAAATTGTATTTTTCTTTGAGTAGGGCTTTGAGAAGCAGTTGAAAAAAGTGATAATTCGGTTGCAAGAAAACCATGTACATATTAAAAAGAGAGATAAAATCATCGCATCTCTTAATCAACAAGTGGCTTTTGGAATCAATAAGGTTTCCAAGTAAGTACAAATCCTTTTAAAACAAAATTTGGGGTTTGCTCCATAGTGAACAGTCTTTAAAAGATAATCATAGGTGCCCACTAGGTGGCATTGTGACTGCATATCAGGAACTGCCAACCACAGACTGCACTTGCTTAAAAACCATTTCTATTTTTGCCTTGCCAGCTAAATGGAGAAATAAGCAACTGCTCACTCTATATATCAAGCTTTTCATGTATTAGATGAACAAGTGTGAAGATAATAGAATTTCATGAGGAAGATAATTAACTTTCAGATCATGATTTTAGTTTATAAAAATGTGATCAATGCTTGGCCTTTTCTTTATAGCATATGATAAATATATTCCTCAAAGACATCATGGAATCAGTTGTATATTTTTTTTTATGTTGGTCCCTCAGAGTGTTTGTGTTCCAAGACCAAGAGAGTTAAAATAGATTAAATTCCTGGAGACTCTTCACAACTGCACCAATTTCATTTCTCTTATAACTTTAAGGATTAAATGCCTAAGACTAAAAATTTTGACTTAATAGGAAAAAACAAGTGTCTTTATTTTACTCTAATAATCACTGCCTCCGATGAGTATTAGTTTAAAGAATAATATAACTTAATTATTCTAATGAGCAATAATAGTACCACAAGATACCAGTCATCTAGGAAGTCTAATTTATTTTTAAATACATTCTTATTGATTTCAGAGGGGAAGGGAGAGGGAGAGAGAGAGAAACACCATTGATGAGAGAGAATCATGGAGTGGCTGCTTTCTGTATGCCCCACACTGGGATTAAGCCCGCAATCTGCGCATGTGCCCTGACCGGGAATCGAACTGTGACCTCCTGGTTCATAGGTCACTGCTCAACCACTGAGTCATGCTGGCCAGTCTAGGAAATCTAATTTGAAATCTTTCGCAGTTCCTAGATTGCTAATAAGGAGAATAAGTAATTTCTAGGAAATAATTTTAAAGTGAGGAGTCCAAAATACTAATTGTAAAATTAGAGAAATACTTGGCAGAAATTTAGGTCTTAAGTTTTTCCCTATATATCATCTCATCCATCCTGAAGATGTTTTTAAGAACTGATTGCCATAGCTCTGGCAACTTAATATCAGTTGAAAATACTTTCAGGCCTGTCCCTGCTGGACTTAGAGAGATCCTTCAAGTTCACAAGTAGGTGAGTAAACTAAGATAGCATGGGCTAGCTAAGCACTGCAGTCACTTAAGAAGGATTCAAAACTTCGTCTTTTAGCCTGGAAGATAATGACCAGTCCAGAAATGTGTTACATAATACCAGAGATCAGTAATGTAATGTCATGCATGCAGGTGAATTTCCTCTCTCCTTCATAATTTGAGGATATCCCTTCTCAACTCTGATAGCTGACCTAGGCACCCTTATATGCTCGAGACTACAGACAGATCACTTTAGGGGATATATATATATGTTCACTCAATAAGCATTCAGTGTTAAACATTCACCAAACATTTAAGTACTAACTGTGAGAAGAATTATGTAAGACATATGTAGAGGATACCAAGACGTGTTAGACATTAACTGTTAGCTAGTAGAGAGTATAGGTTACATAGGGGATTAAAATTACATATAACAGAGGGACTTTCAGTTTCACCAAGATGTAGTTGCTCCATTACTTATAAGTCCTCCATCTTACAGTTAAAATACCCTGGACCTAAAAGAACAAATAAACAGGAAGACTCTGAGAGGTGGAAGAAGAAAGCAGACAGTCTGGAGACCTTGGACTTGAGGAATGATACAGCAGTGATTTTCCTTATTGCCTCACATATATCCTAGACAAGGTGCTGCAGAGACTGCTGACTGCCAATAGGCATAGGGTGAAAACTCAAAGGAAAACCTGTTCCCTCTAGCCAAAGGAACAGGAAAAGGAAAATACAACAACTAAAAACCTTCTTGTCACTACCCACCTACTCCAGCCAAAGACCAGCAGCCCCACACCACTTCTTGGAAGAAGATAGTATGCTTTGACAAAAGCAGATGGCAGGAATCAGATTCCTCTGCTGGGGTAGCAGTACTGAGCAGGCGGTTGATCTTGCATTCTCCACCAGGAGGGAGCAGATAGTGCTCATTTCCTCTCGCAGGATAGCATCAATGTGGTCCATCTATGAGCTAAGCCTCTACCTCTACCCAGCATCTGTGGACTTAAACTGATTTGAGGTGGGACTAGTCAATGGTAGGTTTTATCCCTTCTTTCTCTATGGGAAGCTGAGTCTCCACCTCTGGTGTTAGTCTCCACCACTCCTTTCCCCCCATCTCCCCAGTTGGTGCCAGAGCTCTTACCTCTCTCTATCAAAGCAGTGTGAATCGGCCCTTCTACACTTTGCTAGAAATAGGAAAAGATCAATAACAGTAGGCCATGTGTGCATATTATAATACCTAGTGCAACAACTAAGAAAGCTACACAGAGATGGAATCCTAAAAATTGTTCACATAACCCAAAAGAAGGTAAGAAAAGAGAAACAGAGGAAACAAACAGAAAACCAATAACAAAATGGCAGACCTAATCACTAACATATCAATAATTACCTTAAATATACTAGTAAATGGTCTAAATACACCAATTTAAAGATAGATACTGGCAGAGAGGATTTCAAAGATGTAACAAAAAATGTGATAAAATAATCACTATTTACAAGAAACTTCAATTTCAACATAGGTAGGTTGAAAGTATAAAGATGGTAAAAGATACATTATGTAAACAAAAAAACAGAAGTGTCTGTATTAAGATATATTAATATGATAAAATGAGCATCAGAGCAAAGTAAACTACTGGAGACAAAGAGGGACATTACTGATGATAAAAGGATCAATCCACCAGGAAGGCACCAAAACGAAGTTGTATGTACCAAAAACAGCGCCTTAAATATATGGAGCGAAGCCTGATAGAACTGAAAGAAATAGAAAAATGTACAATTTTAGTTGGTTACTTCAACACCCTACTCAGCAATTTATAGAACTACTAGACAGAATCAATAAGGATATAGACCACCTCTACAATACCATCAACCAACAGGATCTGATCAATATTTATAGAACAATTCACCAGATAACAGCAGAATCCTTATGCTTTCCAGTATCCACAAGAAATACACCAAAATAGATGATAACCTGTACCATAAAACAAACCCCAGTAAATTTAAAATAATTGAAATTATGCAAAGCATACACTCAGATCACATGGACTCAAACTAGAAAACAATAATGCTAAGATAACAGGAAAATTTCCAAACACTTGGAAACTACATAATTATTTATACTTTATATTAAACATACCTAATTATTCCAAGGGAAATAAAATACATTGAACTGATCTAACGTGAAAATATAATATGTCAAAATCTGTGGGACACAGCTAAAGCAGTTCTGAGAAGTCGTCTCAAATGAATAATACAAGCTCCGACCTCAAGAACACAAAAAAAGAAAAGTAACCAAAATAAGCAGTGGGAAATAATACAGATTAGAAACAAACAAACAAAAAACTAGAGAAAAATCTATGAAACAAAGCTGTGTTTTTATTTTATTGAAAAAATCAATAAAATTGCCAAACCTCTAACAAACTGAACAAAAGGGAAGACACAAACACCACCATCAGGAACGAAGTAGTGATATCTCTACATATACTATAGACATCAGAGAACTCTGCTGAGTGAAAAATCCCAAACCCCAAAGCTTATATACTATATGATTCCATTTCTATTACATTTTTAAATGAAAAAATTTCAAAAATGATAAAAATGGAAAACAGACAAGTGGTTTAAAGATTATAAGGAGGAGATGAGAGTGGAACGGAAGTGGATATGGCTATAAAGGCAAAACGAGGAATCCTTGTGGTGATAAAACTCAGTATCTTGAACTGGATCACTGTCAGCATCCTGGTTATTATACTGTCATTTTGCAGGATATCATTGCAGGAAAGATGGGTAAAGAGTAGCTGGGTTCTGACTGTGTCATTTTTTACAACTTAAAGTGGATCTACGATTATCTCGAAGAGTTTAAACTTTTAAAAAGCACATAACTGTCAAATGGAGCTATATTTTATAGGGATTCTGTTGCGATAAGAACTTCATTGAAGACATAATATTGAACCTAGGCTAGGTAAGATGAGATGGGAGAAAAGACAGAGGGCATCTAGGCAAAAAAAAAAAGGTATGAGCACTGTGTATTCTCATATAAGCTTTTGAGCCTATTTTTGTTTAACTTTGATCATATCCCAAGAGTATGTGATAAAAATATAAATAATCTTTAATTGTAGAATGTTGATTTCTTTCATCTTAGGATGTGGTGTTTAGTGGGAAGCAAAAAATAAACTTTTTTTCTTTGTCCTAAATCAGTGCCAATCCTACAGTAAATGTTTGATAAATATTGATGATGATTGCAATTTTAACAGAGTTTTACAGAAAAGTGACATTTTGTACAAGTGACAATAAGCACTTAATAAATGTTAAGAAACTGCTGTCAATAAAGTCCATATAATAAACTTAATAGCCAACCAGAATAAGCTTGAGAACTTTAGATCTTTTAGAAAAGAAAATCTAATTCTACCCTATCATGTAATTCATGAGAAAAATATGACTGAAGTTATGACTGCCTGAACATATATAGCTGGTTCATATCCAAGCTTGATGATAAGAACTATGCATACCTTACCCTCTATTACTTACAAATCCAGGTCTTCTGTATTCCCTAGCAGCTCTGTCAACTCTTATCACCCACTGTAAACTGGAACTGGGTAAAATATGGATGTATCAAAGGAAAGGAAGATGCCAGTTTTAGAAATCTTACTACTGTCCAACTCTCTTTCTATTCTCCTGTATATTACAATAACAAAGCTTGTATTTCTTATTATTTACTTCAGAACATGACCTCTTATATAAAAAGAGATCTGGTTTCTTTCATTACATTTTTAGTCCAATAGAACATTGATTGTAAGTCTCTATACAGCTTCTAAGAAGCTTCGAGTAAAGTTGAGTGGATAGTCTCTGAAATCAAGTAGTGAGCATTCTAGCCAACATTTAAAGTCATTGTTTTAAGGCTTTACTATTCCAATAATTTATATTAACCAATACTCCTATGTATCTCAAATGTCTCGCATATTAGAAACTTAAAAAGAAATATGTTTTTGCTATAAATCGCTTCATACTGAAGCAGATTAACAGGGCAATATAAAAGCTTGGTTGTGAAGAGAAATACAGCAGCAGCACAAGGAAGGAACATAAAAAATAGGATGTGAATATATGTTAACGAAAAAGTATTACTTTGCATTTTTCTTAATAGCTTCTTGCATATGAATTTTAAGCTATCACAGATTATGTTTTCTGATTTATACAAAATTTTTATCCAGATTTCCCATGATTAGGTTATATGAGTGATTCCTAGTTTTAATTCATAGTCCTTATTAAAATTCTTACTTGAACTTAGCTTTATTACTTCTATATTTTAGGTCTGGTTTCTTTCAGACTATGTCTTTAATAGTTTGCATGACTTGATATAATATCTCTTTAAGGAACTTTAAGTTCTCAATCCCACAATAGGCCTAGGCCAGTGGTCGGCAAACTGTGACTCTCAAACCACATGCGGCTCTTTGGCCCCTTGAGTGTGGCTCTTCCACAAAATACCACATGTGGGTGCGCACGTACAGTGCGATTGAAACTTCGTGGCCCATGCGCAGAAGTTGGTATTTTGTGGAAGAGTCACACTCAAGGGGACAGAGTCGCGTGTGGCTCGCGAGCCGCAGTTTGCTAACCACTGGCCTAGGACATCAGAAGTTACCATCTCTGTTTTCTAGTGGGTAAACTGAAGTACAAAGAAGTAAAGATATTTTTCCGAATCACTGAGCTGGGAATACAAGATAAAATAACTCTTGTCGCTGGCTTTCTAATTTATAGCTTAGTTGAAACTAAAGAGTTAAACTTAGTTCTTTCTTTGTGAAGTCAGTAAATCAGACATCAGAAATAAGATATATTTCAGAAGGACTTGGTATCAGAGTTTAGTTATTTTCAGACTCAACAATTTGGCCCCAAATGGACATACTTAATCCTTCCTCATCTATAATGACAAATAATTTCTAACATTTTATGACTTTTTTCTTTGCTTAGATTGCAGCGTCAAAACCATGCTAAAGATAATGAGATCAAGAACCTTAAAGAGCAACTTTCCATGAAAAGGTACAAACAGCCGTTGCTTTGGTTGAGTGCACCCTCTCTGAAACTTTGTATTTCACTCAGCATGTTCTGGCTAGGACAGCCATATAATTTATCATCCAACCTGGGGCACTATGAGCCTGAAATTGAGCAGTATTCATAATAACTGAGGCAACAGGTATAAACTAGAAGTGTCCTAGACAAATTCGGAGGTTATGTTCACTTTAGCTCTGGCCCTAGAAAACTGCTGAGAGAATAAATCAGCTAAATTATTGTCTCACATCACACTATTGTCAGGGACTAGAGCTTATTGAGTTCTTATCTCTTTACCCTAATCAATACAACTGGGTGTGACTGCTTTATGAAACTGACTTAACTTTTGTTCTCATTCATAGATTTGCCTGCAGGTAATTTTTTTATAACAGCTTTTTTGAGATCTAATTCATACTGCATAAAATTTACACTGTTAAAATATATAATTTATTGGTTTTTAATATATTCACAGAAATGTACAACCATCACCACTATCTAATTCCAGAACATTTTTATCACCCTGAAAAGAAACCCTGGATTCATTAGAAGTCACTCCTCATTCTCTCTTCCCCAAGCTTCTGGCAACCAGTAGTCTATTTTTTGCCCCTGGATTTGCCTATTCTGGACATTTTATATAAATGGAACCATTTAATGTGTGGTCTCTTGTGATTAACTTCTTTCACTTAACATAATTTTTTTCAAGGTTCATTCGTGTTATAGCATGTATCTGTACTCATTCTTTTTGTGGAAAAATAATATTCCATTGTATGGATATATCAAATTTTTTTTCTTTTCATCAGGTAATGGCAATTTCATTTGTTTTCATTTTGGGCTATAATAAATAATTCTGTTAGAACATTTGTGTACAAGTTTTTATGTGGGCATGTTTAAATTCTCTTTTGGTGATGTACTAGTACATATATGTAGGAATGCAATTGCTAAGACATGTGGTTAACTCTGTTTAACTTTTTGAGGAACTGCCAAACTAATTTCTAGATCAGTTCACCATTTTACAATCTCACCAACAATGGATGATAGTTCTGATTTCTCTATATCCTCACCAATACTTATTGGATTATTGGTCTTTATTTTACCAATTGCAATGGATGTGAAGTGGTATACCATTGTTCCTTTCATTTGCATTTTCCTAATGGTTAATTTTGTAGAGCATCTTTTTATGTGCTTATTGGCCATTTGTTTGTCTGATTAGAGAAATGTCTATTTATATCCTTTGACCATTTTTAAAATTCAATTGTTTGTGTTTTTACTGTAGAGTTTTAATTTTTCTTTGTATGTTCTCCATACAAAACCCTTATCAAATATTTGCAAATATTTTCCTCCATTCTGTTGGTTGTCTTTTCACTTTTTTTGTTGTTTTGTTTTTGTTAATCCTCACCCAAGAATATTTTTCCACTGATTTTTAGAGAGTGGAAAGGAGGGAGAGAGACAGAGAGAGAGAAACCTCATGTGAGAGAAGCACATTGATTGTTGCCTCTCGCATGCACCCTGACTGGGCCTGGGGATCGAACCTGCAACCAAGGTACATACCCTTGATTAGAATTGAACCCGAGACCCTTCAGTCTGCAGGCCAGTGCTCTATCCACTGAGCCAAATTGGCTAGGGCTCTTTTCACTTTCTTGGTGATGGCCTTTGAAGTACAAAAGTTTTTAATTTGATGAAGTCCAATTTATCTATTTTTTGTCTCATTGTAGGCAAATTTTCTATAATCAATGGTATAATAATTCTCTTGGACATTTTATGATCCCCCCCACCCCCCGCCACCCCCCGCAAAACACTCTCACCTTAATGGTATTAATAATATATTGATTTATCAAGCTTCTCTTCAGTGTTTGTCAGATACTCAAGTATCCAGATGTTTATAATAATAAAACATTGAGGATAGCTTTGGTGAAAGTTCCCTATTACCATGTTATATTTCCAATTAATTGTTTCCGTTTAAGACAGTGGTTTGTATTGCTCTGGAGTTCTGTAGCTCAAGGTGAAATGAGATAAGAAAAAGAGAAACCTTACAGGTAGCCATTTTCCATAATGTCCCTGATAAATAATGTCCTATCATCATCTCCTTTCCTCTTAAGCTGTAGGATTTGTTTTCATTCTGAGGCGTTGAATGTAATAACATTAAAATACTTTAATGCAGTGCCCTAGCTGGTTTGGCTCAGTGGATAGAGTGTCAGCTTGCGGACTCAAGGGTCCCAGGTTCGATTCCAGTCAAGGGCATGTACCTTGGTTGCGGGCACATCCCCAGTAGGGAGTGTGCAGGAGGCAGCTGATCGATGTTTCTCTCTCATCGATGTATCTAATTCTCTATCCCTCTCCCTTCCTCTCTGTAAAAAATCAATAAAATATATTTTTTAAGAAAAATAAAATACTTTCATTGCAGTGACCTAGCTTTAATGACACGGATAATAAAAACATTTTTAGTTACTATTACTTGGATAAAAAGGCTTGTATAAAGAAACTTTAGGTAAAATTTATTAATTATGATAATACCTGACATTTATTCATTATTTACTGTGTGCCAAACACAAAGTGCTTTATGTATATTATCTGAATTAACTTTCACTATAGTTCTTTGAGGTAAGTAATACAATTTCCTTCACTTTTACATGTGAGAAAACTGAGGTAGAAGGAAGGTCAGTAACTTGCCCAGGGTTTCACATTTAATAAACTGTGGAACTGAGATTCATCCTCAGACAACTTAACTTGAGAGCCAAGTTTTAAATCATTACCTCTATATTGACAACTTTAAAACTTCTATGCTCTCGATAGTAAAGGATAACAATAAAGCTTAAGTATTGTCTTCTCCTGCTTTTATATGCTGTATACTTTTCAGAAATCATTATCTATTCATTGAGTAGCTTGTTACCTTTCTTCCTCTTAAATAAGAAAAGTCTGTTCTTGCTGCAATGTTACTGACTCTTTAATGATCACGTATTTCAGATCTCAGTGGGAAATGGAGAAGCTTAATATGGAAACCACAATTAAAACATATTTAAGCAAACTGAATGCAGAAACTAGTAGAGCTTTAACAGCTGAGGTGAGAGAGAGAGGGAGGGAGGGTCAGGGAAGCAAGTTTACTTGTGTACTAATGTACTAAAGAATGTGGTGGTTTTTTTTAAAACTGTTTTGTAAATAAAGAGAAATAAGGCATTTTAGGATCAGCTTGAAAAAAATCAGCTCCAACCTTGTGGGTTTTTTTGACTCATTGGCATTTTGTATGTGATTACTACAGTGTTATGATCTTATGTTGTTTTTCTCAAATGACTCCAAGAAATGTGTTTGCTTCAATATATATAGCAAATGCAGACATCATGGGAACATTTCCATAAAGCCTGGTCACCAAGCTAAATTTTTAAGAATTATATTTCACTGCTGCCATAATCTCCCTTCTTTGCTTCTTACATAAATTTGCCAAAAGCACATATACATCATACACTCCAATGTAAAAAACCAGTTTACATTCTGGATCCAGAAAGTTACCCAGTTTCTTCTAGGTTAGCTTAGAACAGTGGTTCTCAACCTTGGCTGCACATTAGAATCACCTTGGGATCTTTTTAAAATCCTGATTTCTGGGCCTCATCCTCCGGAAATTCTGTTTCTTTGTTATGGGGGAATTTTAAAAAGATTCCTAGGTGATTCTGATGTGCAGCCAAGGTTGAGAACCACTGATTTAGATAGTCTGTTTCTTTGTTACTAATGTTGTGGCTTCATCCCATGACAAAGAAACAGAATTTCCGGAGGATGAGGCGTAGAAATCAGGATTTTAAAAAGATTCCCAGGTGATTCTAATGTGCAGCCAAGGTTGAGAACCACTGGCTTAGACCCTCACAGCTAGGTTCTCTCAAAAAAAAAAAAAAAAAGATTGTATGTGTATAGTTTTTGTTAATAGATAACCAAACTTGATATACAATAAGATTCAAGTTTTGGAAAGCTCACTGACATTAAAATCATTATAGATCTCCCAAGCTCTATTCTTTAGCAGAGTTCTTAGAAATCCAGAGGTCAACAATTGAGTGATATCTGAAGAGTTAAAGTGTTGGAGTGCTAGCTTTAGTGAAAAACAAAAAACTCAGAATACCTTAAGTGCTCAAGTTTGCATTTGTTTTTCACTGTTTTAAGTGAGAAAGTTTCTAATTCCATTAATTTTAGAAACACTTAATGCTGTCCAAGAGAATAATAAGCTATTTTCAATAATAGTACAGAAGGGATTCTTGCTGTGGGTTTGGACTAGATTACCTCCAAGGCCCATTGCACTGCATGGTCCTATAGAGTCTGTTTATTTTCTTATCCCTTCATCTGTTAGAAAACAAACAGCAGGGATTATTTTGAGTTTTCTTAACTCAATACCCAGGCTACATCTAGTATAAATTAAATTAGAATCTCTTGGACTGCCATCATTTTTTAAAGTTGGTTTAAAAACTTTTGAGATGATTCCAGTGTATGTGCAGGTTTGAAAACTAATCTTCTAGAATGTTTACAAACCCAGTAACCATTGAATAAAAAATTAGAATTGCAGAATTGATCAAAAAGCTTTTATAATGTAGCATCAATGGTCAAGAAATTCAGATGATATTGGAAGAGATTGAAAAATAGCTTAAAATTTATATGAAATGATTGAGAAAAGAATGTATTCATTTACAAGGACACCTTCAACTTCTTTTTCTTTCTCTTAAAAATCTGCAGGTGTATTTCTTACAGTGTCGTAGAGATTTTGGTTTGCTTCATCTAGAGCAGACTGAAAAGGAATGCCTCAGTCATCTTGCCAGGGTGACTCAGATGGCAGCAAGGTAACTTTTCCCTCTTCCTTAATTCATCTTGATCTCAGAGATACTTGCAAGTGGCTCCAAGGTTGAACATAATTTGTGATGTATATAGTAAAAGCCTAATATGCTAAGGGTTCGGTCATCCATTCAACCAATCAAAGCGTAATATGCTAGTGATATGCCAAGGCCGCTCAACTGCTCACTATGATGTGCACTGACCACCAGGGGGCAGACAGTTGACCGGTCGACCAGTGGCTATGACATGCACTGACCACCAGGGGGAAGACGCTCCAACTGGTAGGTTAGCTTGCTGCTGGCGTCTAGCTAATCGGGACTGAGCGAGACTGGCTGGACATGTCCTGGAGCCCTTCCGCGGTCCCTCCCCAGCTGGCCAACCTCCCTCGTCCCTCCCTGGCCCCGATCATGCACCTGTGGGGTCCCTCGGCCTGGCCTGTGCCCTCTCGGGGGATGTCAGGGAGTCGGTTTCAGCCCAATCCTGCATGCCAGGCCGAGGGACCCCACTGGTGCATGAATTAGAGCACCGGGCCTCTCATTTTAAATAAATGACATTGGAGTCTTTGGAATGAAGAAGCTCTTGGGTTTTTAAACCTCAAAGGTCACCTAGTCACTTGGATGTTCTTTGTTGCTTCTGCTGCAGTACTGAGAAATCTACTGAATGCAATAATAGCTTCTGACAGATTTTTTTCCCTTCCTCTGCAGTCAAATAGATCAAAAATCTCAGTCAGACAACAATGAAGATCAGATATTTACAAACCAAGGTGGATTCTAAGTGGAAAATTTTTCTAATTGTTTTCTTTTCAATACCAATTTGATTTTTAAATACCTTCAGAGTACTTTGGGGGAGGGAGAATCAGTATTAACATATCTAAAATCACACATTAAAGGCAATTTCCTGCTGTGCTTTATATGAGTGATTTTCAAATATTGGGCAGATTGTATGAAATTCTTAAATTTATAATTTTATGAGGTATAAATTCAAACTTAAGAGAATTAGAATCTCTGGAACCAAGGCATCATTATTATTATTTTTAATCCTCACCCAAGGAAATGTTTATTGATTTTAGAGAGGAAACATAGCTGGATGTTTCGATTGATAGCCTTATGTGCTCTGACCAGGGATCAATCCCACAACATTTTTGGTGCATGGGATGACGCTCCAAGCAATTGAACCATCCAGCTGGGGCACATCGTCATTTTTCTAAAGAATTATTTTAATGGTCTTCACTCTTTATTTCCAAGAATCAGAATCTCTGAGACTTAACAAGATTTCCAGGATATATTGATGTGCAGTCAGGTCAGGAAAGCACTGCTTTAAGTAATTAGTCTCTGCTTGGTAGAGGGAGAAAAATGCTCTGTAAATGATAATATTATCAAGCCTCTGTGTGTGAGATGATCCCAATAGCAGCTTGTTCTGTTCTTTTAAAATTGTTGTACTGGATGATACTAGGCTGGGGTGTTTTAACAGTCTCTTGAAATCTCTCTTCTGTAGATGGCAGACCCAAAACACCACAATGCTATTCCTACTTAAGTCATTTGGTAGGTATGTTTGGTAGAGCTGCTGTGTTTGGGCAATTATGCACTGCATAGAAGCAACAATGTAATTTATCCTTGCATAAGAGATACTTCTTTCTCATTTACCCTCCCATATGGAGTATTTTTTTCTAATTTGCAAAAGAGCCTGGTAAGCCTACTATGGCCTTATGATGTTAGGGTTCACGTGGAGACAGTCCAAAACCTGCTTTCAAGATGAGAGAATTCTCAACATCAGATGGTTAGGGCAATTTCCTTCTTTGGCTTTTACTGCCTTCCCACTTTGCAGAGGAATTCCTGTGCAAAGGTTTTATAATATGTCCTAAAAAATATTGCCACTCTAGAAAACAAACAAACAAAAAAAAAAAACACCTGGCTGTGCTAAAGAAGTTATATTTTCTCTTGGGGAAAAAAAATACCTATGTCTCTAGTCCTTGTTTTTATTTTTAATACAACTCTGTGCCCATTTGAGGTAAGTGTTGGTGATAGAGACAACTTTGTTGTTTTACATTATTTACATATATGCTAGAGAACATAAAGGAAATTTTTGGAAACCTAATTCTTATATAAAAAGAAAGAACTTCCTCTTGTGTCTCCTTTCTACACCAGCAACCTAGAATCACTTCAGTTAAAAGCTGCAGTAGACAGTTGGAATGCCATTGTGACAGATGTCAGAAACAAGATTGCATTCCTTAGGGTAAGTTGTAAAGTATATTTAGAGTAAATTGACTGAATGTTGTAGATGGTATATACTTAAAGAAAACATTTAACATTAAAAACAATTACTAGAGAAATTTAAAGAAGAACATAGATTTCATTTCAGTTACTAAAGTTTATGCCTTTTTGATGTTTGAGATCTATTAGTTCCACATAGTTGGTTGTAGCTAGCAACCAACTTAGTATAGTAAATGATAAACTCAGTCTGCCTCACACCTAACTTTTCTCGAATTTCAAAGCTAACTCTGCTCCAATAATGAATAAATGCCTAACTTGGTTTTAGTAATTGTGTGTTTACAGAATTAAAGGGAAGATTAATGCGCTGGCTGGTTTTGCTCAGTGGATAGAGCGTTGGCCTGCGAACTGAAGGGTCCTGGGTTCGATTTTGGTTGGGGGCACATGCCCAGGTTTCGGGCTCAATCCACAATGTGGGGTGTGCAGGAGGCAGCCGATCAATGATTCTTATTGTTGATGTTTCTATCTCTCTCCCCCTCCCCCTCCCTTCCTCTAATAAAAACCAATAAAAAAATTATTTTCTTTTTTTTAAAAAGGGAGATAAGCAGACCCCTATTATTTTTCAATGTTAACTTTTTATGTAATTACTAGAGGCCCAGAGCACGAAATTCATGCACTGGGGGTGAGGGCCCTCAGCCCAGCCTGCACCCTCTCGCAGTTTAGGAGCCCTTGGAGATGTCAGTCAGTCGGACATCCTTAGAGTTGCTGTGGAGGCGGGAGAGGCTCCCACTACTGGCGCTGCACTCACCCCCAATGAGGCTGGTTTCTGGCTTAGTGGAGCTCTCCTGTGTAGGAGTGCACTGACCACCAGGAGGCAGCTCCTGCGTTGAATGTCTGCCCCGTGGTGGTCAGTGCATGTCATAGTGACTGGTCATTCTGCCCTTCAGTCAATTTGCATATTAGCCTTTTATTATGTAGGATTCCAAATGCAAAATAATGAATTCTTAATTATTGGTTTAATACTATTAGGACTATGATAAAGGTAATGTAAAGAAATAACGGAATATTAATTTGGTTTTGGATATTTTTGTATTTCTATCTTAAAGTTTATATATAATGTTGACTATTTTGTGACTTCACAACACAAACAATGACATTCAATTATGAAAAGCTGCCTCAAACCATTACTTACTTACTAGTTTTTTTGTTGGTGGTCTTGACTGTTTTTTTTCCTGGACTCTTTAGTACTCAGTCTTTACTATGCTCAATATCTCTGTTGGGTTTATTCAGAGTTCTAGTCTCAAAAGAGGTGCTCCTTGTTCTGTATCCTTGTTTTCTTTCAAGCACATACCAGTATTCTCTGTGTGGAGATTTCTAAAAGACTTTCTTTTCCAGCTCTTGGGTTGTTTACAAAATAAAATGTAAAGCGAAACAGGGACAATGCCAACAAAATGTTAAAAGCATGCTAAGCTTCAGGGATTAGTCTTTTGGCAAATCCAAGAGAATAAAACAAAGGTGCTGTGGAACTGGAGAAAGCTAGAAGTATAACTTGAGATAAACAAATATGAATATTTGATAAATATTCTCTAAAATTTTTCCTCTAGGTTTTAAAATGAATATTTGCAAGTAATCCAAGTCTTCGTTGCAGATACTTTCCCCCCATATTTATCAGCTAGTGTATTATTCATAAGTTCTCCAATCTTTAGACTCTATTCATTTTATATAAGTGGTTCCAAGTTTGGGGCTCAAAATTATGGAAACATGGAAGAATTACTATGAATTATGTGTCTTTGTATCTTGTTAATCAACAACTTCTAAAAACAACTATTTATATTCAGGGATGATGTTCTATAGAACTGGTTTTATGTCAGAAGTTGTTTTTATATATTTTTTGACAATAGATTGAGAATCACTCTTTTTTGCTGTATTATTCAAAACGCATTAAGTATTTTTATATGCTATTTTTTTGAAGTTGACTTTGCTTTAAAATAGTGTTTCTCTTTTTCTACTAGACACAATACAATGAACAAATTAACCAGGTGAAGCAAGGATTTGCCTTGAGTACCTTGCCTCCAATCCAGCTTCCTCCACCACCACCCAGTCCTGAGATACTGGTAAGAAATAATACGTTTTGAAAAATTCCCATCTTCATTGTGATAAAATGGTAAGGGCTATAAAACACTGGCTATGCAGTTTGTTTATTGTGTATTCAAAATGGATAGGCACATAATGTGCATATCAATTGTAATTATGTCCATTTATCATCTTCAGATGATAAAACTAGTTGGCTGGCTCAACTGAGGTCACATACCTATATTGTATCACTCGATTTTGGTGGTGCATTTGATATCTAAAGAGGTAGTATATTTTCATTCCTCTTGTCACTCCTCTACATCATGGGAGAAAACTGATGAATGCTCAGAATTTCCATTGCTTTCAAGTTACCCCTAGATGACTGAAACACTTCAGCCTAATACCCTAGCAGGCTGACTTTACCCCTCCACTTCTACTTTGGACTTTCTTTCCCTTAAATTTTATCTTCTATTCTACCTTTAATAGGAAGGACACCTTCCATTTATGCCCCTTCCCTGCTTGTTGTAGGATCAGTGAGTCTTAATCAGATATACTAATATCTATACTATACTATGTATGTTATCCTTTGGGGAAACATAGTGCCATAACCCAAGAAACACGTACAACTTTCCAAAATACTTTTTAGAACAGAATCATTAGGTGATAATTTTTATTATCATAACAGATCTGGGGATAGGAAAAGAAAAAAGGTATGAGATATTTAGGGGCAGATCACTTTTGATGTCAGCACTTCTGCTTGTAGGAAAGCTTTGAAATGTTATTTCAATAAATAGTTGAATAAATTAAAGAATTTAAAAATTACGTAAATTATTTGGATTTTCACTGTGTTTCAAAAACAAATCCAAAGCTAAAAGTATTATATGACACACACTCTGGATTTTTTTTATAATGATAGTATTGCCTTTTATATTTTGGTCAATCTGCTTTTTATAGGAGTACTATATTATAGACATTATTATTTTTGGCTTAGAGCATCATCATACCCGACTACCCTGTTAAGGAATGTGTTACATAAATGAAAGAGAAACTCCAAAGATTCACTGTAATTCTACAGGAAGTAACACATATTGGGCACTGTTCCAATTTAGCCCATTATTTTTTATGTGTTTCATTATATTTTTATGTTTGTATCTCAGCTGTCTAATCCGCAAAGTAGTGTTATGTAATAGTTGTCCTCAAAGAGAGCAGGACTGTTAACTTAGTACCCACCATTCGTTCATTATTTAAAAACTTTATATTATGAAAATATAAAATATGTATGAAAATAGAATAGTATAATGAACCTCTGTGAACCCAAGAACCAACTTCAACATTATCAACATTTTGTTAGTCTTGTTTCATGTCATCTCTTTCTTCCTCCCCACTGGAATATTTTAAAGTAAACCTTTAAATATCATGTGACATCATCCGTATATAATTTAGTATGTATTCCTAAAAGATTAAGGACTCATATTATTGGGTGTTATCATAACACCGTTTTCTGTTTAAGAATTGTAAATTATTTTTAACTAGAGGCCCGATGCACGAAATTTGTGCAAGAGTAGGCCATCCTTCCCCCAGCTGCAGGCACCGGCTTTCCTCTGGCACCCTGGACCCAGGCTTCCTTCTAGCCGCCAGCACCCGGGATCTGGGCTTCCCTCCAGCCACCAGTAAGCACCCGGGAGCTGGGCTTGCCTCTGGCCGCCAGCAGGCACCCAGGACCCGGGCTTCCCTCACAGCCCTGGCTTCATCTGGAAGGTTGTCCGGATGGATCTCCAGTCTAATTAGCATATTATGCTTTTATTATTATAGATAATATCCAGTTAAATTTTGTATTACCCCAGTTGTCTCAAAATTTATTTTTCTTACCTCGCTTGACAATATTTCCAGTTTCGTTATAATTACCCTTACTTTTACAACCCTTATTTTTAAAAAGCAATCCAATAAGTTCCTCATTAACCTTTTACCTATTGGTTATTTAGGATAATTACTCAAGAGCTATACTGATACTCAATTTTTTAATTCAACAAATAGTTGAACCCCTACTTTATGCCGGTATTAGACTTGGAACATATAGATGCTCAGTAAATCTGTCCTTTTCTGTGGTCCAGCCAATAATTTATTCATCTTATTGGTAGATGCTAAGAAGAGCCTGCTTTCCACAACTCTGTGGGAAGTGCAGTAACACTCATAAGCATGTCTTCAAGTCATTATCCTCCAGGCACACCCCAGTTAAACTTGCTACTGTTCTTGGATAGAGCTAAACATAAAGTCAAAATTCCATCAGGTGTTACAAGGTCTCTCCAATACAGAATAGCAAAAGTAATATTATCTATAGACAACTTTGATTCTTTCATGGAATTTGAGTGTCAGTATTGCTCATCAGCAAGGACAGTACTCATGGAGGAGCTCCTTTGAATAGTTCTATAATATTCCATTTGGGAGAGGGCCTCAAAGATCACCTAATCCAACTCTCTTATTTTATAGACTAGAGGCCCGATGTATGAAATTCGTTCACGGCGGGAGGGTGTGTCCCTCAGCCCAGCCTGCACCCTCTCCAATCTGGGACCCTCGAGGGATGTCCGACTGCCTGCTTAGGCCCGATCCTACTGGGCCTAAATGGGCAGTCGGACATCCCTCTCACAATCCAGGACCTGCTGGCTCTCAACTGCTCGCCTGCCTGCCTGCCTAATTGCCCCTAACTGCTTCTGCCTGCCAGCCTGATCACCCCTAACCACTCCCCTACCAGTCTGATCAACGCCTAACTGCCCCTTTGCTGGCCTCATTGCCCCCATCTGCCCTCCCCTGCTGGCCTACATCCCCCTCCCAACTGCCCTCCCCTGCAGGCCTGGGTCTCCCTCCCAACTGCCCTCCCCTGCTGGCCTTTTCACCCCCAACTACCCTCCCTTGCTGGCCTGGTCCCTCCCAACTGCCCTCCCCTGCTTGCCTGATTGCCCACAACTGCCCTCCCCTGCCAGCCATCTTTGACCACATGGGGGCGGCCATCTTGTGTGTTGGAGTGATGGTCAATTTGCATATTACCTCTTTATTAGATAGGAATTAGTAACTTGGCATTCAAGATTATGCAGCTAGATGGAGAGAAGTGGGAATAGAACTCTGTTTTTCTCTCTCTCTCAATGTTCTTTAGTATATTTCACTACCCTCTGCTATAGCCTATTCATATGTTTAAATAATTTTATGACACCATTATTTCTATTGTGCTTTGTAACTAGATTTTAAATCAGTCTTTTCCCCAAACATTGCTCTCTGACTGTAGATCATTGCTCATATGAATAGATGTTTTTATTTTTTACTGTTTCTATTTTAGATGCAGCAGTTCTTGGGAAGACCCCTTGTGAAAGAATCTTTCTTTAGACCCGTAGTCACTGTTCCTCGAATGCCTGCCATTTGTCATGGAGCCATCTCTGCACCTGGCCAACCTAGACCCCCCCTGGTACAAAGCTCTTCTTGGTGGAATAGATATTAACTAGTTCTTTATCATGACAGTGGACTTCCAGAATGAATGTCCATCTTCTCTTTTTTCATTTATGTGATAAATGATGATGATGCTGGTGGTGGTGGTGATAACTGAATGGTGGTGATAACTGAATGATAATTGAATAAATATGATCACTGTTAAGGACATTGCATATTTATTTCATTAACTGATACTAGCTTTGTTTTTGGATACAAAGATAAGTATATTTTCATAGTAGAGAATCTTTACAGTTACTCTTTCCTTCAATAGCAGGCACCAATGTCATGTAGATTGATATTTTAATAGATACTTTATATTTAGCATGATTAATGGGTAGGTTGAAAAGCAAGGAAGCCAAGTCACAACAAACTAAATTATGCTATAAAGCTAAAGAAAAAATTTAAACACACACATGTATATATTCAGTAGGACATTGTTTATCTCCAAACAGGCAATATACAGTGGGGCCTTGACTTACGAGTTTAATTCGTTTCGTGACCGAGCTCGTAACTCAAATTACTCGTATGTCAAATCAAAAAGTGAACGAGTGAGACACGTGATGCTGGGCTGATGTTGTGGCGTTCACTATGACGTTCGCTGCGCCAACTAGTGGTGGGGTATCTGAAGCTGGCTCGTAACCCGAATTTTAGCTTGCAACTCAAAGCAAAAAATCAGCCGAGAGACGGCTCGTATCTCGAAAAACTCGTTAGTCGGGACACTCGTAAGTCAAGGCCCCACTGTAAATAGCATCACCTTGGAACATATTATTCTGTAAAGTTATAAACCTTTCTAGCTATAAATGGCTAGATAAGCCTTATCCTAATATAAAGACACAATAGAGAAATTTAAAGTGAATAGTTATTAGTTATAATATTGGTTAAAGTAAACATTTTTATTAAAAGAAAAATGTTTTCCTAGAAGATGATAATACTAGAGGCCCGGTGCACAAAATTCATGCACTCGAGGGGTTCCCCAGCCTTGTCTCGATGGATTGCCCCAAAGAGGTAGGCCAGAGCCGGGGGTCCTGCCCCCGGTGTTGCCACGTGAGCTGCAGAACCCCTGGCATCACTGCGGGACCCACCTCAGTGCTGCGCACGCAACGTCATGTCCCCGCCCACCCGCACATGCCTGCTGCACATGCAGCCTCTTGGTGATGGATTGTTATGGCATGACGGCATGCGGGCATCACGGCATGAGGGCGTGATGATGACATAGGCTTTTATTAGTATAGAAAAGCATAAAATGCTAATTATACTGGACATCCTTCCGGACGTCCTTCCAGATGACCTTCCGGACAAAGCCGGGACTGTGAGGGAAGCCAGGTCCCGGGTGCCAGAGGGAAGCTGGTGCTGGCAGCTGGGGGAAGAAAGGCCTAGTCTTGCATGAATTTTGTGCATCGGGCCTCTAGTGTTAAATATAATTAATGAAAAATTTTCTAATTTAGACTTTCCCATAAGTATATTCTAGTCAGTTTTTTTGTACCTACATGTGGCTTACAGTCTCCCTTTGAAATATATAGTCCAAGGGACTCTGCTTATTTTTGTTTAGGCTGCCTCTCTCTAAAAAAATATGTTAATTAAGTACCACATCTTTTTATCACCATGATTTCACAGTGTTACTCATATGGTTTGTTCCTGCACCATTCTATAAGGAACTATGATAAAATTTTATTGAAAAAACATTAAATTACTTCAACTTTCTAATAAAATTACTTTCTTATTGTTGGGAAAAAGCTTGATACTGAGGCAAACTCCAATTTCTGGGCAGTATCCTGCTCCTTCTCTCACTAGGCTTTTTGTATGAGTTATACTAATGGCTGTTAATAGTTGTTAGTTTTTGTGAGTAATAGCCTTGTATTTGAAAATAACCTGTAGAAGCTTAGGTAAAAGATGCCATGTTTATAATTATCATAGCAATCAGAGTAGTACTCCAAAAATATTCACTTGATATTAATTAGAATCTTAATGGTTCTAATAAGGAACTACCATAAAATATGGGAAAAATTTTGTGCTATGGTTTCATGGCTCAGGGGTGTCACTACAATTTTCATACCACCTTTGTAACATTCATGAGACATTGGGTAGACATTCTAGTAGTATTCTCATCTTTACTTAGTTGTTTGAAAATTCAATTTTATTATTTTTCTAATTATAAAAGTAGTAAATGCTAATCATAAAACAGCAAATAATATAGAAATACACAAATATATACAAAATCTATAATAATAAAAGCATAATATGCTAATTAGACCAGACAGCCAAATGACTTTCCAGACGACGAAGCCGAAGCAAACTGCCGGCCGCGGTTGCAAGGGCCAAGGCAAGACACCGCAACTGTGAGGGCTGAGCCCCTTGCACGAATTCCGTGCTCGAGCCTCTAGTATATGATGAAGAAATACACAAAGCAGAAAGTAAAATTGCCCTGCAATTGAATCCTAGGAAATAATCACTATTTACAGATTGCTTTTAACTTGCAGACCTTTTTCTGTACCTACAGAAATAGACACCCTATATGTATTTCTGTACATGTTTGTAATTACTGAGACTATTATGTCCCATTTTTAAAATAAGGATAATATAAACAATTAGAAATATTGTTAAGAAAAAACTAAAAAGGGTACAAGCATATCAATATTCCTCTTCTTTATTATATTCATTTTCTGAAGTATAGAAATATGTTGGCATGGAATTACTTCCTAATAATTGAAGCTGATAGTTTATAACTCTGTGTTCCTTACAGATGTCTGGCCTAACCTGGACTATGCCGGCGCCTATGGGAGAGGCTGTGTCTCCTAGTGCAGGTCTGGGAAGTGATCCTCCCATGATGAATTGGGAGAGGATTATAGATAGATTGAAAACTGCCTTTCCACAACAGAGCAGGTACCTTCGTTTATATTTACTAGTTAGTACAGATCATACTCTACAGTCTGTAGTCATAATTACAGCAATGAAGTATTTCAGAGAAACATATCACATACACATACACACATTACAGATATTTCCTTACCAGGGCCTTGGTAAGGAAAATGAAATGTATCAGGAAGGAATTGTGTTCGATATAAATGCTAAACCTCTTCACTGAAGTTATTAGTGGTAAGTCATGAGAGAATGCATTTTTAAATTTAGCTTTGCTCATTTACTGAAAGTGCAACTAGTTGTAAACTTATCCAATTTTAATGCCACCGGCTTCAATCATTATCTTAATAACCTATTTCCAATGTGAATTTTAAGTTGATAGTATGCCACATAAACCCAAAATTGATCAGATTTTGCTTTCCTATTTTCTTAATTTCATTGAGGGTCCTTACAGTTTCTTTATTAGGCAACAGAGTTAAATGCAAGAAATCATAACTTTACTGTTCTTTTCACAATTCTGACTTTAGTAGAAAGATAATTAATTCCACCCCTCGAGAAATAAAGTTTCTTTTCTCTTTACTGTCATATCCAAGGAAATAATTCTAGTTTCACCAGTATTTTTACTTTTATTTAATGTATATACTGTTATGCTTCAGGGTAGATTATGTTTTTATAAATGCTATCATGAATAGATAATGGAATTGTAATATAATTGTTATTATTGTACCAAAAATGTATGTGCAGACTTTGGGTCAGTAGACCATAAGAATTGAAAAAGAACTTAACAATTAAAATATTCCTAGGGTTTTAAAAAAATTATTGTTTTAATCTTTGCTTTCCTGTTCCATTTAATATTTAGTTACTTTGTCTGAGTTTTACAAAAGTAAAACTGTTCAGAGTGATAAAGGAGAGAAAGACCAATGGTTACATAGTTCAAAAAGGAATATTTAGTCCCAGCAAGAGAGCTTTGAGAGATGTGATATAAAGAGTTCAATACCTAAATAAGTAGATAACAAATTTCACACAGTGACCTTTCAAAAACAGTTAAAATATTTTTTTAGTGTCTTAACACATTTAGTATCTTAATAAAACATTAGGGCTTTTCATTATGGTTTAAGATAAATGTAGATGGACTTGTGATCACTTTTTAGATCAAAGATCATACACTAGGATTTTATATTTTGTTTGGGGAGCACATCCTCAGCGCAGTAAGGAAAATCACCATTGCTCTTTCCTTTATTCCAGAAAGGAGCTTACAGATTTCTTACGAAAAGTGAAAGATGCTCATGGGAACTCCTCACCCGGTCTGACATTTGATGTCATTGTTTACAAGATTTCTCAATTTATTGACCCCAAGAGATCTCAGGTAAAAAAAAAATATATATATATAAATACCCCATATCTCTCTGCCCTTTACTATAGTAGTTAGCTGGTTTTTAAAATATATGTAAATTTATATTGTTATTGAGGCATAATTGGAACTTTACTAACTGCATATATTTAAAGTGTACCGTGTGATAAATTTTGACATATTACCATAAAATCATCTCCTTAATCAAGATAATGAGTATACCTATCACCCACAATAATTTCCTCATGCCCCTTTATAGTGCATCTCTGCTGCCCCTCCCAGTGTTTATTAGAAAAAGCACATTTCTATGTAATAAGTCTCTTTGAATATCATTGAGGTCTTTTTTTGGGGGGTACTTTACTGTCATGTAGTTTAAGGTAACTTTAGTATGTAGTTAAAAACATGAAGGTTGGGAGTCTTGAATTCAAAGTTTTTTTTACTTCTGCTCTACATCTTAAACTAAAGGCTTTTTATTTTTGTTGTTTTAAAAGAATAGGTGACTTAACAATATTATATTAGTTATAGGTGTACATTTAAATACCTTACAAAATGATCACCATGTTATTGATTATATTTTATATGCTGTATATTATATCACCATAACTTAAATGTAACTGGAAATTTATATCTCTAATCCCCTTCACCTATTTGCTCATTTCCCCCACTTTCTCCAGCAACCATCAGTTTGTTCTTTTGTATCTATGAATCTGTTTTGTTTTGTTTGTTTGTTTATATTACATTATAGATACCATATATAAGTGAAATATTTGTCTTTATCTGTCAGACTTATTTCACTTAGAAAAACATCCATGTTATCTCAAATGGCAAAATTTCATTCTTTTTTATGACTAATATCCCATTATATGTGTACGTATGTGTGTATGTATATACACCACATCTTTATCCATTTATCATTCAGTGGACATTTAGCTTGCTACTGTATCTTGGCTATTGTAAATAATTTTGCAGTGAACATAGGGGTGCATATATTTTTTCAAATTAGTGTTTTTGTTTTCTTCCAATAATACCCAGAAGTAGAATTTCTGGATCAGAGATCAGATGGTAATTCTATTTTTAATTCTTTAGAGAACCTCCATATTGTTTTCTATAGTGGTTGCAGCAGTTAACATTTCCACCAATAGTTCACAAGGGTTCCCTTTTCTCCGCATCCCTGCCAACAATTGTTATTGGTTGTCTTTTTTATAAGCCATTTTGACAGGCGTGAAGTGATAGCTCATTGTGGTTTTGATTATATTTACCTGATGATTAGTGATATTGAGAATCTTTCCATGTCTATTGGCCTTTTGTATGTCTTTTTTGGAAAAAATGTCTATTTAGGTCCCCTGCCTATTTTGTTGTTGTTGTTGTTATTGCTGCTGTTATTGTTACCCAAGGATATTTTTAAGAGCGAGTGGAAGGAGAGAGCGTAGGAGGAGGGATGGTGGGGTGGGAGAGAGAAAGATAGTGAGAGAGAGAGAGAGAAAAACATCGATGTGAGACACATCAGTTGGTTGCCTCCTGGACACACACCACCACAACTAGGGCCAGGGATCAAACGCACAATACAGGCACATACACTTGGTCAGGAATTGAACCTATGACACTTTGGTCCATGGGCTGACACTTTAACATTTAGCCACACTGGCTAGGGCACCCTCTCCCTATTTTTAATTGAATTGTTTTTTTGATAGTGTACTATATGGGTTCTTTATATACTTTGGATATTAACCCCTTGTGAAATACACTCTTTGCAAATATCCTCTGCCATTCAGTAGGTTGTCTTTTTGTTTTGTTGATGGTTTCGTTCACTGTGCTGCAAAAGTTTTTAGTTTGATGTAATCTCATTTGTTTATTCTTTTGTTGCCCTTACCTGAAGAGACAGATCCATAAAAATATTCCTAAGAGCGTTGTCAAAGGTTTACTACCTGTGTTTTTTCTTTAGGAGTTTTATGGCTTCAGTTCTTACATGCTAGCCTTTAATCTATTTTGAGTTTATTTTTGTATATGGTGTGAGAAAGTGGTCCTGTCATTTTTTTGCATGTATCTGTCCATTTTTTTCAACACCATTCATTGAAAAGACTGTGTTTTTCCCATTGTATAATCTTGCCTTTTTTGTCATATAAGCATGAGTTTATTACTGGGTGCTCTCTTCTCGTCCATTGATCTGTGTTCCTATTTTTGCCAGTACCATACAGTTTTGATTACTGTAGCTTTATAATATAGTTTGAAATCGGGGTGTGTGATACTTTCAGTTTTGTTGTTCTTTCTCAAGATTGCTTTGACTATTTGGGGTCTTTTGCTGCTCTGTACAAATTTTTGGATTATTTGTTCTAGAATTCTGTGATTTGTTTTTGTTCTATGAAAAATCCCATTGGTACTTTGATAGGGATTACATTGACTCTGCAGATTGCTTTGGGAAGTATGGACATTGTAATAATATTAAATCTTCCAATTCATGAACATTATATATCTTTCCATTTATTTGTGTCATCTTAATTTCTTTTATCAGTGTCTTACTGTTTTCAGAGTATATAGTTGTTTCACTCCTTGGTTAAATTTATTTCTAGGTGTTTTATTCTTTTTGGTGGAATTGTTTTTATAATTTCTTCTTTTGATAGTTTGTTTTTAGTATATAGGAATGCAACAGATTTCTGTATATTAATTTTGTGTCCTGCAAAGTTACTGAATTTATTAGTTCTAATACAGTGGTTCTCAACCTTCCTAATGCCGTGAACCTTTAATACAGTTCCTCATGTTGTGGTGACCCCCAACCATAAAATTATTTTCGTTGCTACTTCATAACTGTAATTTTGGTAGTTATGAATCGTAATGTAAATATCTGATATGCAGGATGTATTTAGGCAACCCCTGTGAAAGGGTCGTTCGACCCCCAAAGGGGTCGCGACCCACAGATTGAGAACCGCTGTTCTAATAGTTTGTGGTGAAACATTTTCTAAATATAATATATCATCTATAAACAATGAATTTTAATTTTTATTTCCAAATTGGTTGCCTTTCATATATTTTTCTTTTCTGATTGCTGTGGTTAGGAATTCCAGTTCTGTGTTGAATAAAAGTGGGAAGATGGGGCATACTTTTCCTGTTCCTTATTTTAGAGGAAAAACTTTCATATTTTCACTGTTGAGTATGATGTTAGCTATATGTTTATCAAATATGGCCTTTATTATGTTGAGGCATATTCACTCTATACACACTTTAAGAGTGTTTATCATAAATGAATGTTTAATTTCATCAAAGGCTTTTTCTACATCTCTTGAGTTGATCATGGGATATTTAGTTATCATTTTGTTAATGTGGTGTATCACATTAATGGATTTGTGGATGTGGAGCCATCCTTGCATCCCTGGAATATCCTCATGGTGTATGATCCTTTTAATGTATTGTTGAATGAGGTTTAATAATATTTTATTGCGGATTTTTGCAACTGTGTTCATCAAGGATATTGGCCTATGGATTTTTTTGTTAGTGTCATTGTCTTGTTAATACTAGCCTCGAACAATGAGTTTGGAAGTGTTTCTTTCTCTTTCACTTTTTGGAATACTTTGAGAAAGATAGCTATTAACTTTTCTTTACATATTTGTTAGAATTCACCTGTGAAGTTGTTTGATCCTGGACTTGTGTTTGTTGGGAGTTTTTTTCATTATTTATTCACTAGAGGCCCGGTGCACAAAATTAGTGCACTGGGAGGGGGGAACCCCTCAGCCCAGCCTGAGCCCTCTCACAGTCCAGGACCCCTCAGGGGATGTCCAACTGCAAGCTTAGGCCCGCGCCCCAACTGTCCACTTAGGCCCACAGGGAGCAGGCCTAGGACAGCAGGCAGACATCCGTCTTGTAGTGCAGGACCCCTTGCTCCTTACCGCCTGCCTGCTCGCTGCTCCTTACCTCTCAGCTCACTGCTCCTTACCTCTCGGCTTGCTGCTCCTTAGTGCTGCCGCGGAGGTGGGAGAGGTTCCTGTCACTGCCTCTGCGCTTGCCAGCTGTGAGCCTGCTTTTTGGCTGAGCAGCGCTCCTCCTGTGGGAGGATACTGATCACCAGGGGCAGCTCCTGCGTTGAGCATCTGCCCCCTAGTGGTCAGTGTGCATCATAGCAACCATTCTAGTTCTGCTGTAAGGGTCGCTTAGGCTTTTATTATATAGACTAGTAGCCCAGTGCATGAAATTCATGCACATTAAAAGGGAATTAATTGCCCTAACCAGTTTGGCTCAGTGGATAGAGCATCGGCCTGCGGACTCAAGGGTTCCAGGTTTGATTTCCGTCAAGAGCATGTACCTTGGTTGCGGGCACATCCCCAGTGAGGAGTGTGCAGGAGGCAGCTGATCGATGTTTCTCTCTCATCGATGTTTCTAACTCTCTATCCCTCTCCCTTCCTCTCTGTAAAAAAATCAATAAAATATATTTTTTTTGAAAAAAGGGAATTAATTAGCAGAGATATTTTAATATTGCTATTTGCCCTTTCTCTATAATAGAAGTATGAGAGATGAAAGGAAATTAGTAAAATGTATATGAAAATCATATATAAATTTATTAATAAATAAACAGTAACAAAAGGATATAACAACAACAGAGGCATGATATAAAAACAACAAAAACATGATATGAAAACAACAAAAACATGATATGAAAACAACAAAAACATGATATGAAAACAACAAAAACATGATATGAAAGCAACAGTGATGCAATGACTGATAAAGTGATTAAACTTATTCTAATATCTCCCTGTACACCACATTAAGAATGAAAACACTAAAAGTGCTTGACTAATTTCCCTTGTGATGAAGTACTTAGAACTTTAACTGTAACATCACATGCTCTTCAAACTCGAGAGAAAGCAACATATAACTGACCATGTGCAAAAACAGGTTCATGTAGGAATATGCCTACTCTGTCTAGAGCAGCCGTGGGCAAACTACAGCCCGCGGGCCGGATCCAGCCCGTTTGAAATGAATAAAATTGAAAAAAAAAAGACCATACCCTTTTATGTAATGATGTT